TTGGAGAGGGGGGGGGGGGGTGGGGGGGGGGGGGAGGCAGGCACAGGGACCCACCATAGTCTTTATGAACTTTGACTGGGGAGGGGTTAGAGTTCATGGATCACTGGCAGGTGCAAGCAGAGTGTGCTGAGGATGCTGCTAGGGCGAGAGCCGGAGACAGCGGCTAAGGCCTGGTGAGACTTTCTGGAAGTCCAGCTTTTCCGGTCAGAGGTCTGCTGCCTATGCCCTGATTTTCTTCCTGGAGAGTTCTCAGGTAGCCTGGCCTCACAGAGCCTCCCCCTGTTCTCCTCCATCTGTCTGTGCACACCCCAGTGATCAGAAGAGTCGGGCCCATTGGGCAGGTCTCTTCTGTCTGCCTGCTGTTCCTGGGACTTCCCGAAGAGCCAGTCCAGAGGGTTGTCAGTGCCAGGAGAGGGCAGCGGGGGCTGTAGGCTGCTGAAGCAAGGAGAGCTGTCTGCTACAGACTCGGCCTGGCATCTCTTCTCTCTAGTCCAGGCTGGCCGGTATGGTCTATGAGGTCGGCTTCGGATCTTGTCCAGCACTGAGGTGGGCTGTGCCAGCTGGCAAATAGACCTAACATAGTCATCCAGGCTGGGAGAATTTGGGGGCTCCTCCTGTCCAGGTGCCCCATGTGATAACTCTTCGCAAGTTTCCCGAATTGTCGGCAAGTGTGGCACAGGCAGCAGAAGCCGGGACCTCATTGCTGCTAACAAAGCAAAACCAAGCTGTTGGTCAAGAGAAAACAGTGGACTACCATGCTATCCTGACACCCTCCTGGCACCCTTCTACTTCCTCTCCATCACTGTAGAAGCTATGCAGGACTCGGTTACCCAAAAAGCAGTAAGAAACCTGTGGCTCTGAGACCAGGGCTCAACCCCCCCTCCCCCTTCCTTTCTGTTAACATCAAAACCCACATGCTGAGACCTCATCACTAGTATAGTTTAAGGATGTCCAGATAATCGGGGCTGGAGAGATGGCTCAGTGGTTGTTCTTGCAGAGGACCTGAGTTCAATTCTTAGCACACACATGGTGGCTCAAACTATCTCTAAATTCAGTTCCAGAGAATCTGATAGGCAAGTATGTAGTACACATACATTCGTGTAGGTGACACACACACACACACACACACACACACACACACACACACATATCTACTATATATAATAAATTAATTTTACAAATTTAAATCAAAGAATGAACAGATAAGAGAACTGGGGGTGCTAATGTGTGATCTGAGGACATCCAGGTATTAAACCCATCTGTCACTTAATGACCTGGAGACCTTTGGCAATGTCACCTCTCCAAGCCTCTACACACCCATCTGAAAAACAGGGTTATGAACAGCCCACTGGCGGGGATATTGTGGGAAACGCAGGAAACCATAGCTTTGACTCCACAGCCCTTAAGTTCTTTGTAAATCCGAGAGCCTTGGGCAAACACCATATTATCACAGCCACCAGTGGCACCCACCTCCCTGGTCTCTATCCAGTAGCCAGGCTGTGAAAACTCAGGGTGAGAAGAGACCTGTTTTAAAAGCCTCAAGCCAGAAGACAGCCACTCCTCTTACCTGTGGGTCAGCAGACAGGGTGGTGAGAGTCTGGATGAGAAAAGATTGTCTAATCCGAATGAAACACCCAGAGGTGGGCAGTCACAGCTGGTCTCTAGCTCTCAGTCACTGGGAAGAGGGCGATGTTCGGTGGATTCTTTGTGCTGTGGATTCTTCCCCTGCGCTGTCTGGCAAACCCAGACACCCGCTGCTGCTTTTAAATGTTTCCTCCAGTCATCAATCACTGTCAGGAAAGCTCAAAATAGCAGCTCTTAGGAAGGTTCTCAGAGGAAAACAGCACGGAGGGCGGGGCTGGCCCAGCTGCCAGCCTGGTATTTGTGTGTGTGCCTGTGGGAGGCTGGGAAATGTTTACACTGCGGGGTGAGGGGTGGGGCAGCCACCTCCCCTTGATTTAGACAGTTTCTCTATAGGTAGAGACCAAAGCCAGATTACAGGGTGCTGGGAGAGCCTGGGATCACCATGGGACCTTCACAGGGAACCTAAAGGTCTGTCACCCCTGCCTGGTGTGGCACAGTAGGTATTACAACAGCACCTGTGACCCTGTGGCATGCTGGTCTTGTCCCAATTTTTGTTGAGCACCAGGACCTGCACTTGTGATCTTGATAACACATGAGCCTTGCAGGGTTCTAGCCTGGAATCTTCCTGGGCCTGCTGCAAGGTGAGGGACACCCCCTTACACAAGCACCAGGGCAGCCTGGGGGTCTGGCCAGCTCTCCAAACCTCTCCGAAGGGATGCTTTCAAGGGGAAATTTGCTTACTCATTGTTTGCCAGATTGTGGTGTTACTGTGTGCTCGGGACTGCTCAAGGCTTAGCAAATAGTGTGGACAAATCGCCAACCCTGGAGCTTGTTTCTCAGTGAGAGAGATGATCAAGTCATGGTGGAAGGTGCAGAGACTCAGCACTCATGATGGCTGCAAAGAAAAAGTATGGTAGGGTTATGGGGCAGGGTCAAAGGCTGCTACTGTAGGTGGTGTTGTCAGAAACACCTAGGCACACTCGGGGACCAGCCAGAGCCTGTGTGCATGATCCAGGTGGGAGAGGGGGTGTCAGAAGACACCAAAGCAATAGCATGGCCCTGCATGTTCACATAAAGGGCTGCAGTGTGGCTTCTTCCATGCTCAGGCTAATGACGGTGGCTGTGGGGAACCAGGAGACTCCAGGGGAGACACCCACACAGGGGAAGCTGAAGGCAAGGTGGGCAACCCTGGGAAAGTTCCCAGGAAGGAGCCAGACGTCTGCTTCTCAGGCCTCTGCGCCTCTGCTCACCGGGAACACATCTGTCTTCTGTCATCAGGAGTGGGAAGAAGGGAGTCACAGACAGTACTGCTCAGGTCTGGACAGACCCTAGACTCTGGCAGCAAGGAGAGCTGCTGATCCCTTGTCCATGCTTTCTAGGTGTGGCGTTAGTGCACGGGTAAAGATATGGGACACTGGAGCTACCAACAATGCTTAAGTCAGGTGGCAGGTCCCAGCGTACACCCGAAGGACTCCATAGGACCTGTGTCTGTTTCTCTGTTTCTCAGAATTTATTAGCAGCTGATTGATTAATTGAGAGTCAGCTGGACTGTGGTGATATACACCTTTAATCCCAGCACTCTGGAGGCAGAGGCAGACAGATCTCCATGAGTCTGGTCTACAGAGTGAGTTCCAGGACAGGCTTCAAAGCTACACAGAGAAACCCTGTCTCAAAAAAAAAGAAAGAAAGAAAGAAAGAAAGAAAGAAAGAAAGAAAGAAAGAAAGAAAGAGAAAAGAAAAGGAAAAGAGGAAGCGTTTACTGCCCAGTTGAGGTTTCTTTTGGTTGGCTTTACCACAGGGGCAGCAGATCCCACCAGTGTACTGGATCCTGATTCTGACAGCTCTGCCCTGGCCTCAGCTTTCTTTTGATTTCATCAGAGCCCTTCATCAGCAGGTGCTGGGGAATTGTGCTCTCCCGACCTGGCGTCTCCATGTCTTAATCAGCACCTAGCTTTCGCTGCACTCATGAGCAGTCTTCAGGCTGCCATCTTGCCTCTTCCTTTGTCAACACTAGACCTGCTGTGAGGGGCATCTGTTCACCTAATCTCATCCCCATTAACTGCCATCCAGGGCCCAATGCATTTTTCGGTGACACCCCCCCCCCAAGCCCTCCTCCTACATTCATTTGTAAATCACTCGTGGTGAAGCCATAGCTTCTTCATCTCTCCATCTCTGAGCTTTAGGTGGGACTAGGGGTGATGGGTCTCCAAGGATGAGCTGTGTACTGAGAATTTCCAAGTGTGCTGTGGGCTTTTCTTACTTTCCTTAGAGACATTGAAACTGTAGATTGATGCCAGCCTTTTATTTTATGGGAGTTGAGTTTCACCTCTAAGTCTGTTTTTGATCATTGCTTTCTTATTCACCTGAATATTTAAGCATTTTTATACATACACCCACCAGCAGAGAGAGAGAGAGAGAGAGAGAGAGAGAGAGAGAGAGAGAGAGAGAGAGAGAGAGAATGCAGTATAACAGGGGGTGAACTCAAGCCAGACCAGTTGGTGCTGCCACTGTCGGGATGTGGAACAGAAGGACAAGGCAGGGCACACAGGGGGCATAAAGTTCAGAAGTACCTGGTGACTGGGATTCTCTGTCCCAGTGCAGTGTGAGCCAAGGAGCTTCGCCCAGCACAAGTGGCCAACCCATGCTTCCCCAGGCTGTACTTCCTCCCGGCAGTGTGGACGTGCCTGCCAGACACTTGCTGGGTCCTGGGGGACTCCTGACTCAGCAGCTCGTGCTGGCCCCAGCTCTGCCTGGGCTTAGCAGCGGAAAGAACAACTCCTGCTTCCTCCTGTGGGGGCCCCTGCCCTCATGCACTGAAGCATGTGCACACACCCCTTACTCATCCCTGAGGGTGGGGGTGGGGGCTGAGCCTCCTGTTTCGAGGGGTCACCTTGAGGGCAACTGCTGTTTGTGAATTGGCTGACCCGTGTGGGCTCCACAGGAGGAAGGGGCTCTGATCATCGAAGGACTCCTTAACATCTCCTGGGGACTCAGACGACCCATCCGGCTCCAGATGCAGGATGATCGGGAAAGAGTGCACCTGCCCTCCACCTCATGGATGCCTGAACGGTCCAGCTACCTCCCGTGAGTGCCTGGCACGTGGGGCAGAGCAAGGGGCCTCCATGACATCCATTATCATGAGCACCACATAGCTTAAATATGGAGTATCCTCAGCCTGGGGATAAACACCCCACTGCTGTTGTATGGGGCTTAGGCGCCAGAGAACAGATCAGTCGCCCTTTTATAGTCAGTGGCTACCCCAGTCCTTTCTAACCTTGTCCACCCCAACATGCAATCCTACTCAGGGTGCCCTCCTGTTGATGATTATATGACTGTTCTCCCTCCTCCGGAATAATCATGCTCCCAACACATGTTTTACATGGGTGCTGGGGACTGAACTCAGCACTAAGTGCTATACCAATGAACCATGTCCTCAGCCCACTGGGATGTCCTCAGAAGGGAATGTTAGGCATTCACACAAATTTATCTTCCTGCTACTTCTGTTTTATATCAGTGACAGACTCTGGATAAACTTACCAGAATTTAAGCCTTGATGTATTTTACCACCAGGAGAAAGGCGGTTAGTTAGGCTGAGCTTTGGCCTCTCCGTGTAATGACTTTTCAGAGGCAAATATTCAGAATTTTGTTCCTGTCAAATATGCAGGAAAGATAGGTGTGGTGGCATAGGTGTGTCGGATTGCAGCACTCAGTAAACGGAGGCAGGGAGACTGTGAGTTTGAACTCAGGCTAGGCCATCACTGAGACACTACCTTAAACATACTGTATGAAGGAGCTGGAGAGATGGCTCAGTAGTAATTGCTGGGTTCGGTCCCCAGCATGCATGTGGCGCCTCAAAGCTGCCAATAACTCCAGTTTCAGGGGGTGCGGCGCCCTCTGTGGCCTCCATAAGCTCCTGCAATACGTGCTGCGCACAGACTCACGTAGCCAAGTACACACGGGCATTCAATCAACCAGCCGACCAATGGATGTCACGAGAAATACATGCCGAGAATGAGTACTCTGGGAGCTTGGAGCATGTTGAGTCACCAGCTCTTATCACCAGGTGTCCCTAGTCACTGGTACAAAATTTTGAGCCATATAGATTTCAAGCATAAGGGCTCCTTGGAATGGCTGCCGGTGTGACTCATCTCCCCCAACTCCACCCTGTAAAAGCAGTCCTGTCAGCAACCCTGCCCACAGCCCAGGTTGTCTAGGGTACTCCTTTCTCATTCTTTCCACCTGAATGCTACTTACCTCTCATTACACCTGCTCCTTCTCTAGCTCGATGCTACGTTTTTTTGTTTGTTTGTTTGTTTGTTTGTTTTTGTTTTGTTTTTTTGTTTTTTTGTTTTTTTGTTTTTTTTTGGCTTGGGGTGAGAATCAGTCCTTCCAAGAGGCCTGGAGATTTGATCCCCAGGGTTAACCTTGCCTGACTCCTCAGACTCGAAACACCCTCAACAAACCCAGCAAGCTCTTTTGGTGCCCAGCTGTACAGGCACTAACCTGGCCGAGAGCCTGCGTCCCAGGAATGCATGGACACTGGCTTTGCGCATGGTCTAACTCAGCCCAGAACAGTTACCCTTTCTAAGGGCCAGACCCCCCACTCCTTCCAATAGATGCTGTGGGTCGCTTTCGATTATACAGATACAATTTGCCCACTCAGCCTCTGCTGCTCCCGGCTTCCATCCTGCTCTTCTCTGTCCACAGCCACTTGGGAGCTGTGTTTCTCTCTTTTCAGAAAGGATGCTTCACCCCAGGACTGCAAGGTCACTACGGAGGAGCCTAGTACTCAACCTGCAAACAAGGCTGAGATGTCCAGGGACAGCTCAGGTAAGCAAAGCTCAGAAGACCCCAGCCTGTCTTGGGGATGCTGTCTCATGAGAGACCCTTGCTAAGCATCTGTATAGCAGGAGATAGGTGCGACACACTCTTCATTCCTTTTAGGGAAAAGGAAGCAGAGGCTTGCAGAAGTGTCACCTGGTGTCCTTGGCCCAAGTCTACTGTAATGGGCTGTAGTATAAAAAGGAAAGGGCTCAGTGGTGGGTGCTGTTCTCTTTTGTTCCAAGCCTTTAGGACCTCATCCTCATGCTCTGAGATCAGTGATCATTCACCTATGCTCTCTGTCCCCTTCCTTAGCACCTAGTGAAGGACCTGTCCCTGACTGAGCGCTCAGAGAACAGGGCTAGAGTGACCTCGTACCTCAGTGGGTACCATGAGATGCACCGTGGCACTGACAGAACTCTGCCCATCTGCCAACCAAAGATCAGCTTTACCAGGACAATGCACTACAGTGACTACAGGGTTCCAGGGAGCCACAAAACCCAACAGACAGTGCCACCGCTGGAGCCGTGACACACTTGCTGTCACCTCCCTCCACCCTCCCACCTTTTCATCTGTTTCTTTCTGCAGGACCCCTGGAGGAGGAAGAGGAGGTCCCACAGCTCATGCGGACAAAGAGTGATGCCAGCTGTATAATCCAGCGGAGGCCCAGACCCCGGGCACCTGGTGAAGCCCAGAAGATTCGACGGCACCGGTACTCCATCAATGGGCACTTTTATAACCACAAGGTGATGTCTCCGTCTGTTCTTCCCCGGGCCCTGAACCTGAGAGGACAGGAATTACTTCCCAGCACAGAAGAGCAGCCCCAATAACATTCGGCATTAGTCCCAATCCTCCAATAGCCTTCAAGATAACTGCTGTTGGCCTGTGCTGGAAGCTCAAGAGGGTGACCCAAAGCCACAACAGCATAATATTCCCACCCACAGCCAGGGCTCCCCACACAGTCACCATCTAAGTTCTCTAAGTCCTATAGATTTGGGACAAGGAAGCCCTTAGTAGACAATAATGCCAAGTGTATCTTTAATGAGCCCATTCCTGTGAGGCTTCCACTCAGGGTCATTTGATCATTCCACGGGAACATCACGTACCCAGCAGCCCCTCTCCCTGGGTAATTAAGCTGGCTTGCTGAGGTGTGCCCAGTGCGTGTGTGTCTTTTCCTAGAGAACCTGGGGATCTCTGAGTTCCCAGCACTTCTCCTTTTGTACAAGTATGCATTGTACTGACCTGAGGAAAAGATCACCTTCCCCTAATTACATCATTCCATTTACACATGAACTATAAAAGGAGAAGTTGATTGTTACTAAAAATGGAATGAGCGGCCGTCTGGGTGAGGCCCCGCCTGGTGTGTATGTGACAGGCCGTATCCTGCAATGCCGGGGATGAAGAGGGAAACGTCCAGTTGGAGCAGTTGTGCTTCTCAAAGGGTGATTCATAGGAAGGAAGCATAGACTACAGACAGAGTCTTTAACCAAAACAAAAGGACAGTTTTTCACCCCCTTTACCTCTGTACACAATTAATGTTCTTAGAAATTGGGGTACAGATTCCTTAAGCCACAGGCAACAATGAAAAATAGTAATTCCCAGCATTGATTTTCTAGGGTGATTATTCCAGGTTGTATTTCTGAGGTCTGTACACTAGTACTTCACTCTTTCATTTCCCTATACCGTTATGACTGACAGCATGGATTTTATTCCCAGATCCATTGAATCATAGGCATTCTCATTGCTTTGTCCTGGTACATGGATTCAGATGTGGTCCACGGGAATAAGAAACCAAGGTCCTTGGTTTCTCATTGGTTGGTTGGGTTCATGTCCATATAGGCTTTACACAGAACAAACACAGCCTTGTTGACAAGACTTTTCTTCTCCTTGAAGTAGTTGAATGAACTTCCCATGTTTCTTAGGCACTAAAGCAGGGGTTCTCAACCAGTGCACTGGTCGTGACCCTTCTGGTGGGGGTTGAATAACCCTTTCACAGGAGTTACCTAAGACCATCAGAAAACACAGATATTTGCATTATGAATCATAACAGTAACAAAATTACAGTTATGAAATAGCAACAAAAATAATTTTATGGTTGGGGGTTAACACAACATGACTAACTGTATTAAAGGGTCGCAGCATTAGGAAGGTTGAGAACCACTGCACTAAATTAGGCCCGTTTCCTGTAGAATCTTTAACCTAGAGTGCTTCTGGGTTTCAGCTAGTCTTAAGCAGGCCCACTGCAGTTTTGCTGGGAGGCACCAGCATTAATGGGGTAGATAGCAGAATGAGGTTTCAAGCACTGCAGAATCCTTCGTCATGGCACTGTCCTTTCCAGATGGGTGACCATGACTGGGTATTTAACCTCCCAACCCTAGGCTTCCTTTCTCAGGAAACAGCAATTGTTGTAGGTACTTCAGACAGCCGGTGTGAGAATGAAGAGTATTTGTAAGATGTTTCACAAGTTCTGTGTGTGGTTATAGTGTTTCTAGAGCTTTCCTAGCCTCGGGTGGGGTGTCTGGTTCATTTTCTACATAGAAGCTCTTGACTGACAGTCAAGTTGTGTCCTGACAAGCTCATCATACGCTGAAAGTGGAAGTGAAAATGTCTGTAGCTCCCAAGCCACATTACATCAGAAGCACAGTCCGTTGTAGAATTTGGGTTCCTTTTTTACATGCTTAGGTTGCCAACTGGGAGCTGTAGACACTGTTGCTGCTCAGCGTTGAGAGTGTCATTGTACTCCATAATGCTAGTGGAGGAATGGGAGGGTTGAAATTTAAAATTTAAGATATGATTTTATGGCCGGGCATTGGTGGCGCATGCCTTTAATCCCAGCACTTGGGAGGCAGAGGCAGGCAGATCTCTGTGAGTCTGAGGCCAGTCTAGTCTCCAAAGCGAGTGCCAGGATAGGCTCCAAAGCTACACAGAGAAACCCTGTCTCGAAAAACCAAAAAAAAAAATATGATTTTATGAATGTTCATATTTCATTTTTTGCTCTGTCTTTAAAGTCAAAAGATTGAGTCATACCATTATAAACTAGGAGCTATCTGTGTAGATGTGTTACAAGAAAAAGGCAAGATGTTGGCAGAAGTCTAACATGCCACTCATACAAAAATAATTGTAAATAAACCAGGCTTGGTGATAAAGTAAAGTGATCCTGTTTGGAGGCCGGCTTGAGCTGTGTAACTGGTTCGGGGCCACATAGTGAGCTCTTACCTAAGAATAAACTAAAATAAAAACGAGTGCTGGGGATGTGCTTACAATGGGGGAGTACTTGTGGTTGCTTAGCATGTGCAAGACCCTGGGTTCGATTTCCAGGACTACGGAAGAATAAAAAGTTATCTGCTTAGCGTGGTGATACCCAGTGGAATCTTCGCCCTTAGGAGGCTAAGGCAAGAAGGTCTTGAGTTCCAAGCCAGCCTGGCCTGTATAGGCAGAACCTGTCTCAAAAAAAAGTATTTATGGATATTTACGTAAAGAACTATAGAGGCCCATGTAGCTGGAGCGTGGGGTGCTTGTGGTGGTGGTGGGGTCTCAGCATCATCTGTGCCTGAGTGAGAGAGATGCTCAAGGCATTATACAGGCCGTGGGAAGCCTCCACACATTTTATAAAGGGGGATTCTGTTATTGTACTACACAGGTTACAGGCCTGGCATTCTTCTGCAAAGGTAATTTCTGAACCAGCAGATCCCTTTTAGGAAGACCAAGGTGGAACTACAGGAGGCTGGGCCAGACCACACTTTGTTATTAAGGGTATTTAAATAGTGGTACCACGGGCAGCAGTATGGAGAGTTTGCTAGAAGGCGAGAGGGAGGGGCCTGTTGGTAAACTGCACAGGGTGAGTGGAGGCCTCTGTTTGGAGGCAAGAGTGAGCAGATATGGAAGTTTTCAGCCTACATTCACAGATGTTTGTGATGCTGATGCAGTCAGCAGGAAGAGTGAAGGAGACCCCCATGTCATACCCCAGTAAACTACTCCTGGGGTCCTGGTTTCCAAGATCCAGAGCGCTGCTATTGATGGATGTGTGTTTAGCATCTTCTTTAGAGTGCTCTGAGGACACATATATAATCACTTCCTGACTGTCCCCAGGTCTAGGAACAACCCTCATGGTCATGTGTTTACATGAATGGGCAGGGACCACTGTTCTGAGAAGTAGACCCCCATTGCTTGGGTCTGCTCAGAACTTTAACATTAGCCTGTGTCTCCCTTGGGCCTGTCCTGAGCTATTCGTCTGTTCTCACAGACCTCCGTGTTCACTCCTGCCTATGGGTCCGTGACCAATGTCCGGGTTAACAGCACCATGACCACCCAGCAGGTGCTTACCCTGTTACTCAACAAGTTCCGGGTAAGTGTGACCATGGGAGCAACCTTGCCAGGAAGCAGGAAGTGCTTTGATGAGTGGTCGGAAGAGTGGGATTGCTACCATTGGCTGCCTGGGCTCTTGGGGGAAAATCTAGCAAGATTTCCTCTGACGAGCCAGTAACCCTGGGATTTTAGGCGAGGAAGGGTATGGGGTGGTCTGTTCCCTTTCATTAAAAATGTGGTCTGACTTTTCGTGCCGGCCTGTGCAGGTAGAAGATGGCCCCAGTGAGTTCGCGCTCTACATTGTCCATGAGTCTGGGGGTAAGTGCTACCTTCTGGTGGTCATTTGGTAAGCTTGCCATCTTCTTCCCACACCTTCCTTTCCACCATCAAACTCGGTTCCATTCTGAGGCTCCCTCTAAAACATAGTAGATGAACCCTCTCGGGGCTCTTTCCATTAGTGAACCATTACATAGCTCAGTTAGGGAAATAGGGCTTCTGTGCCAGTGGCTGCAGCCTGGGTCGGCTCCTGTGGAACCTCTGGGTCCCTCTGCAGTCCAGGGGCAGCTTCTTGTTACTGAGCAGCTCCAGTATCCCCAAGTCTGTGGTCCCCATTGTCTACTCTGTTCCTGTAATCTCTGATCTGAGTCTTTATTAAGTAATACTATAGGACAGGAAAATTATTTTCCCCCTACGATGGGCCTACGAAGTACACGGACCAAGTGCAGGTTTACAAGGGGAAAAGGAACTGGTTTGTTTATGGGTCACCACATACAACTGTGGGAGAGATAAATTACTCAAAGGAGTGCCCAGAATTCTTTTGCCGTAACAAGGAAATCGGCTTTTAGAGAAATGAGAAGATGAAGAGGGGTAGGCGGGGCTTTGAACCAGGATGGTGATCAAGTGGAAGGCCAAGAATCTGGAGCTAATGGAAGATGAAGACAGCTTTTAGCAGCATTTACTGTATGGATTTCTCTGTTGCTGCCTTTGGGCTTACAGGGGTCTAGAGTTGTGTCTGGTGATTAACTTCTGTCTCTGGCGGAAGTAGATGAAAGGCTTCAACAAATTTATGTCTTGCTGTCAGACAAGTGAAGGAAGGCATCTGTTTCTTCTCATTTCTGCCGCCACAATCCTGAGTCCAGGTAGCTGACCTAGGGTGGCCAGTTCTGCCCTTCACGGGATCATATGCCTCCCAAGATGTAGACCCGTGGAGGTCTGAGAAAGATTCCCTGAACATCTGCTTTTTATCATGCCCTTGTCCTGGTAAAATAAATAAACAAGGGGTGGCTGATCCTAGCATCCCCTGAATTTTATAAAATGCCCTCTATTTCAGAGCAGACAAAATTAAAAGATTGTGAGTACCCGCTGATATCCAGAATCCTGCATGGGCCTTGTGAGAAAATTGTCAAGATCTTTTTGATGGAAGCCGACTTGAGTGAGGAAGTGCCCCATGATGTGAGTGGCGCCAAAGCTGAAAGCCTGCCCCATGGGGAGGGGCTGGGAGGCAAAGAGGGGACTCCTCGGGGCTCTGGAGGAGCTCTTGGCCAGAGTCCTCCCAGGCAATGTGTCTTAGGTCCCTACAGCTGACCTTTCAGCTCAGGGGACAGAAGAACTGGGGTCCTAAGAGAACCCAGCCCTGCCCTTTTCCCCATAAGTAAAAGCCCTTTCCTTCATTGTAGTATGCTTTTGCTGTTATCACAGAAGACCTCTTAGCTAGGGCCAACTCGAGGGCAACAGGTGTTAAGTCTCAATGGTCAAACTATAAGCATATGTCCAGACCCTATACAAAAGGGCCTGTGGAGTATGTGTCCCCAAGAAGACCTTGTGGCTGTCTCCCTCCGATTCCCAGGGCTGGTACAGCTGCAATCCATTGTTAAGCACAATGATATTCCCACTCCCCACCCATGCCAAGAACACTCCGTGTGACAATGCCTCGGGACTGAATGCTTTTCCTAATATTCAGCTCAGCGTTTCCTCCAATGGATGATCATTGCCTTTGAGATAAGAGCAGTTCCCATTCCCCCACCACACAGAGCAGAGCGATGTCAGCCGAGGGTGGGAAGGGAGACAGCTCCTGTGGGTACAGGACTTTGGCCTTGACCACTATGGAAAACACCAGGAAAAGAAAACACTTCTTAGACTTCTCATCTAAAGCAAGTTTTAATGTTCTTGGATTTTCTAGGTGGCCCAATACATTAAGTTCGAAATGCCAGTGCTGGACAGTTTTGTGGAAAAATTAAAAGAAGAGGAGGAAAGAGAAATAATCAAACTGACCATGAAGTAAGCAGCTCTTCATCAGTCAGACACGGTCCTGGCCATTAGAGGACATCTGCAGGGCATATCCCTGTCCAAGACATGGTCCTGGTCATTAGAGGACATCTGCAGGGCATATCCCTGTCCAAGACATTGTCCTGGCCATTAGAGGACATCTGCAGGGCATACCCCTGTCCAAGCAGGCAGGTTTCTCCCTTCCATGAACACCAACGGCAGGGGGAGGCCTGCTGACCATGCTTCCCATTACTGCCTCCTACACACTTACTCAGTACTGATGGCATTCTGGGGTGGTAGGCTTCTGAATTAGATGATACACCCATTCAGCCTGGGCCTCTTCTCCAGTGAGGGACTTGGGCCATAAGAAACTGGGCAGGAACGGCAAGGCAGGAGACTGGCGGGGCCTGGATTGGCTTTCTAGTTCTACTAGTGACCAAGTCTTGGAAAAGCAACCACATTGAGTCTACTGGGTAGAACTTCAGCCTAGTTCAAGGCTTTTGTACTAGCAGGAAGTCTCAACCCAGTGGAAAGCAGTCATTATTGACATTCAAGCTCTGGGTGCTGTTTGGAGAAGCAAGGGTCAACAGTGAAGCTTGCATGAGGACAGGCTGTGATGCTTTTGGGTGCTAACGATCTGTTTGTGCCTCTGGGATGTGTGGCATGGGGCAGGATGTGTGAAGAACATTCACAGTGGGGGGTGGGGGGTGGGCGTGGGCTGGGCAGGGAAGGACATTCTGCTCTACTCTGGGACATGCCCCATGCCCGGGAGTAGGGAGTGGTTTGCATTGTAGCTCCACACTAATGATTCCTGGAAAGCCCATGGGCTTCCTTCTGTGCAGCTGGGCCTCACTCAAAGTCAGTGAAGACTCAAGAGTGAGCTGCCGATTGGTGATATCACTACAGGGTTTTAAAGATGGACAGGACCTGGGAATCATCTGGCCAGTAGATTCAGTGTGGGGAGAGCAATCTGAGGCCAGGCTACACTACGGTTGCAGCTCAGGTTATTTGCATGGCCCTGGCTGGGACACTATCTTCTTGAAACCTAATCTATAGCCCTGATCAGCATCTCAGTACACCCCTGTTCCTGGTGGAGAGTCTGGAATGGACTTTTTAAAGTCCTTTTTAAATGCCTTAAAGCATTCATCTTTAAGGCCCTGCACAGTCTGCAGTTTTGTTGACCATTCTTGGTGAAGGACAGAGATGACAGCTTCTGGTCAGCCAGCTAGGAGCGTGGTCTGAGCTCTCTCTGCTCTCACCCCCCCCTCCCACCAACCCTCCAGCCTACGTGAGACCCTTTGGCTTTTGTCTCTCTCCAGGTTCCAAGCCTTGCGTCTGACAATGCTGCAGCGCCTGGAGCAGCTGGTGGAAGCCAAGTAACTAGCCAGTGTTTGCCTTTGGGGATGCCTGTGGTAGCAAGTGTGCGTGGAGCTCCAGGGACCCAGCCCTAACTGATTACTGACCAATGGCTGTTGCCCAAGGAGTACAGTACCTATGCTTCTTCTAACCTGTCCACAGACTATGTAGCATCCTGCATCTCAAGTCTTGGCACCATAGTGAGCATGCACGGGAACACCCAGGAACTTGCTAGCTAGGATGTATGTGCAAAGCCTGTCTAGGTAGTAAAGAGCCTTGGAACTGCGGTACCAGCCACAGAGCCTGGTTGAATAGCATGCCCAGCCTTGTCCATGCATATTTCCAGCTTGAGAGGGAAGTATTACACCCAGCCCCTGGAGGATGGGCTTCATCTGCTTGCCCAATGCTTATCCCAGAGCTTCTGCATGGCCCAAAGTCCCCGCCCTTATCATCCATGTGAACCATGAAACCCCCATCTTCCCTTCCTTCTTATTGCCACTCAGGAACTCTGCTGGAGCAGGAGCTGCCAACAGTTGTGAGGCATGTCCTGATTCTAACCACTGCTTCACCATGGTGCCCTGGCCTCCAAGCCTCCTTTCATAGCCAATAGTCCTGGCCTAGAGGTTAGATCAGGACTAGGACTATCAAGATTCCATCAGCTCTTAGCAGAAGTCAGCCTTAACTTCTGAGTATGATCCAAAGAAATCCTTGAAAGGAGCTGTCTTCAAGAGATATGTCAATTGAATCACATTGCGGAGTTGATCTGTGTAGCATTGAAACAATACTGGCTGGCAGTGGCCCCAGAAGGCAGTGCTCAGTCGTCTTCGCTGCCATCTTGTGGAAGCCTGTATGTCTCTTGCCTTCTTTGGGACTGAGCTTCTCTCTAGTGAGTAGGGATAGCTTTCAATATTTCCCATCAAAGCCTGGCAATAAGGGAAAATGTCTGTTTGGGGACAAAAGGCTTCTAATTCCCCAGGTCAGACACAGAATACTTTGTTTGCTGACTGATGGAAATTTCTGGAAAGAATGAGAAAACTTCATTTGTAAAACTATGCAACCGTTTACATCAGTCATGGAAGTGTTTGTCTAACAGAGCAAACTAAAGGCAGCTTCTGCCCCGAGGTCTGCGGACAATGTATTTAAAGAGAAGTATGATGAAGGCCTGCAAAGATGGAGTTCCCATCTTCGATGCAGTGCACATGGAAGCTGCTTGTGGAACTCTGAAGAGTGGAGCTTGAGAACAGCTGTGCTGTGTGGAACCATTGGGCAGGGTAGGTGTCACTGCTGGATTTCCCAGACCAGCTCTGTCTTCATGGAGATACACTTGGCTAAGTTCTCCTGCCTCTCTTCCTTTTGGCACTGTACTTTCTTAGGTGCTTAATAAAGATCATTTGTGTTGAACAGAAGCTGCAAGTGCTAAGCTTGTTTGTGCTTTTTCCTTCTGTGTTTATTGCCTTCACCCACTCTCCTAATCCCTGAAGCTCTTATACCACACTATGAAGGGCTGTGGTGGGCAGAGAAACCATAAACCCCTTGATGTTGACAGGACTTCTTCACTTCATGCATGGGCTGAGGACCGCTGTGAGGCTGGAGGTGAGGCTGCCCTGTAAGGATTCAGGGTCTAGGAAATCTGTTTGTCCTTTGTTCAGAAATAATTAACCAACTTGACTGTGTTATGCCAGGCCTGTACTGGATCCTGGAGGAACACAGATAGGACGGACCATGGTGATTCCTCTTCCAGAGAAGCAGTCAGACTCTGGGAAACCTGAGGAGGCTAGATGTTGACCAGATAGCTAAGACTGAGTGCTGCTGAAGGTCTTGAGACACCTTCCGTCCCTGAGGCAGGACAGGGACTTGGGGCTGGGGGAGCCACTGGAAACAGGAAACCCCTGGGAGCAGCAGCCAGCACAGTGGCATTTCACAGCTGTCAAAATATTATTTAAGGCTCCCTTATATGTGTTACTTTTGAGATATTATCAAAACTCATTTCTGAATAACACAGGAGAAATTCTGGCAAGTTGCAAAGACAAGGAGAACTGTCCTCGGCTGCATCCTGTGAAGCATTGACAAATGTTAGACAGACAGTACCACACTCGCTCTTTGGAGGCAACTGGAAGACGCGGCTATGCAGGGCATAGCAACAGGAGAACCTGAGACTGGGGAGGCAGTGGCTTCACAGTGTGTTAGGGCTATCATCTGCTGTGGAGTTCCTGTCTCAGACAGTGAAGGTATCTAGAGACAAAGTGAAGAGCCCAGCCAGAAAGTGCTGTCTTCCAAATTAGGTTTGTCCTCAGAGCTCAGAATAAAAACAGTACAGGATGAAATTTGCATGATTACATGATTGCAAAAGTTCCAAGCTCAGGACAAACAGGATTGTTTGTCCAGAACAAATGACCAAACAGATGAAAACAAGAGGGAGGTGGGGAGGGGGGCAGTGGAGACTTGTTTTTCTAAAGCAATAACCTTTGGACTGTCTCGGTGACAAAACAAAGCCTTTCTCCCAGGATACATCTGGCTCCTTCATCCCAGGGAAAGGAGAAGGGACTCATGTCGTCTACCCCGGTGATTTGGTAGGAAATGGGGCTATGCCAACTGTGCTGTGCGGGCACAGCTGCAGCTGGGGCAGGCCATGGGCTATCCTTATCAGGGGTCCTCAGAGGCTCTGCTGCTCATCAAGCCTGGCAGGTCTCGGCCAAGAAGTAGCAAGCATAAAAACATCCAGGTACTATATTTAGGCCCCAAGAACTGTACTTGGGTATTAGCCAGCTGTTGACATGCTGAGAGCCTCACAGAGCCTGGGGGGACGAGGAGTATCTGTGCCAGCAGGGCTGTAACAGGTTTTCTGCAGGTCAGGGAATGGGGAATTCCCAGAGTTTCCTTTTCTGCCCAGTCCAAAGGAAACAAAACAACACCTCAGGCTTATCTGACAGAGTCATTGTTCAGAGTCCTGTGTGGAAAGACCCAGTTTGGGATAAACAGACGCTTGTTCCTATACTGAGGCCATCTATGACCAACCCCCGCTACACCTGGACTGTGGATCAATCCTACCAATGACAGCAGCACCCCCACTGATACAGTGTTTAATTTGTGTGCATGCATGTGCACCTATGTGTGCATGAACACACATATGTGAAGAAACGAGGTCCAAGGAATAAAACCATAGGAAAGGGATGCTGCCTTGATAGGTAGGCTGTTTCTCAGCTTGTGTTGTTGTTGTTGCTATTCTAGATTTTTTTTCTAGAATTAACTCTTCAAATATCCAGCCCACTCTGGATGAGTGGCCCCTGTGGGGTAGCTTCCAGAGAAGCTCCAGCCTCTGAAGGAGTCCAGCTTCTCTCACCAAGACTCCCTGGAAAGATCTGCAGAGAGCCTGGGCTATGGCCTTTCCTCTTAACCTTTGTCCCCTTTCCTTTTGTCTAAGTACCACATGTCACTGCTCTTCATAATTTAATTTACTTAACATGACACGGCTCCAAAGCTTGACTCTGTAAATGTGTACATCTGGGTGTTTCACAGAATCAGGTCCTCGTGTATTAACTGGCTGCCAACAGCAGAAGGTGCCATGAAACTACAGAACAGCACAGAGAGACCCAGGAGTAGAGAGTGTAACTTGTCACAGGCTTACAGGCTTGCGTGGCTTGAGAAGCAGCAAGGTGGAAGGACCCTCCTATCACAAGTTAGAGTAAGTTTATACACTACTCCAGATAAGCATGGGCTGCAGCTAGCCAGTGTATACCAGGTCTTTCTCCAAAAGCTGTTGACATGTCCAGTATCAGCTAAGAAAAAATATTGGGTGTCAGTGACTAGCACATATAGACAGATTTTTCTTTGTGCCACCAAGTCACAAAAAAACAACATGAAGACATTATTGATTATGAAAGCTCAGCCTGTAGCCTAGGCCTATCCCACTAGCTCTTATAACTTAAGTAACCCATTTATATTAATCTATGTTTTGCCTCGTGGCTTTTTACCTCTCTATCTTCTGTTTCCTCTCCATCATCTCATGTTGTCTCTCTGTCCAGAAGTCCCACCTAACCTCTTCCTGCCTAGCTATTGGCCATTCAGCTCTTTATTAAAACCAATTAGAAGGTGCATTGGCCAAAAGATTACCCCACAACAAACGCAGAATGCTAGAGCATCTTCACAGCTTTGTTTGTCTTACAGGGCTGGTGATGTGTGCCAAAGTCAGCTGGTAGGCCGCCTGGGAGTTATGGTGAACATGCCTGTGGTCATGTCTAACGGAATCCTATACTGTAAAAGTTACTTGCCTCACTTTTCTCATCAGTAAACTCTGGGTAATAATGGTTCTTACCTCGAGGGTGACAAGAGTCATAGCTTTACTGCAGTACCAAACAATGCCAGAAATCTCAGCAGCACAAGAGACTTTACTTCTTTCAAAAGTTGTGGGACTATCACGTGGCCATGGCATGTCCGTGTGGCTCACTTCCACATGTGTTCTCATCCTGTGTCCCAAGCTCCTTGGGGCCTGTAATTGCTGAAGGAGAGGGAAAGAGCAGAGTGACTGCAGGAGCTTGTGTCTCAAGGCTGCTTCTGGGCCACTGTGTACCTTACACCCATTCTTGCTCTTGGCCAGTGCAAGTCCTTATCTGCAGACACACACAGCCCTGACTACGTTCTCAGCTGTGACCAATTAATATAACTCCTCAGGTTGTAGCACACAATAAACTATTGTTAACACCAACACATGACTTGAGGGGATGAAACCTTGATTGTTCAAGCTCTATTCATCTTTTCCCTTTTCCCGCGTCTTTTCCTGGCCTAGGCCTCTCTCCTCACTTACCTCCCATTCTACCCACTTGCATGGACTTTGTTCATTTCATTCCTGACCATTTTTCGCCTTTCAAAACTTCAACCATCATCCTTTAACTGACTCCCTAATCTGAATACCCAAAGGTATTCAGGGGCCTTCTGTATCTGGTCCAGTTGTTTTCCTGTGCAGGAAAAAGAACAATCTGCCTTTAAGTGAGGCATTGAAAGAGTTATAATTCATGACTGGTTGTTCCAGTGTATTTTTGCTCTTGAATTTTTTTCCTACCCCATCATCACCCACAGCTGTTGCCCCTCTCACCACCAGCACCAACGACATGTAACAAAAATTTAGTATAAAATTAGCGACATATGTTTCTCATTTTTTATGCAAAGTCCCTGACCAGGTTTCATATCGGTTGCAGTGATAAAATGCTAACTACAAACAATTTAGGGGAGAAATGGATTTATTTTGCCCAGCAGGCATCATTGAGGACACAGTCCATCATTGAGGGAAGTCAGGGCAGGAACTTGAAGCAGAAATCATGGAGGAATGCTGCCTGCTGGCTTTCTCACAGGCCTATTCTTAGCTAGCTTTCTTATATAGTTCAAGAGCATTGCCCAGGGAATGGTGCTATTCACAGGAGGCTGTGTCTTCTACATCAACTAATAATCAAGAAAATCCCCCCACAGACATGCCCATGGGCATGTCTTCAGTCAAACCTTTCCTCTTAGATGACTCTAAACTGTGTCAACTTGACAATTAAAACAAAGACAAAGCCATACATCTCATATCATCTTTAAGGAAGCCCAGGTAGTGTCTGGATTATTTCGTTAATGCCCATGATGTAAATATCATTAAGCTCAGTTGTCTGTCACCTACAGAAGCAGCTCCCCCTGCTGTCAAGAAATCCTTAGCCAGAGATAAGAATTGAAGCAACTGTCTGGCTTTCATTTAGCTATCTGCCATGACAGACATGATGATCCCAGCTTCGTGGGACTGGAAATAGAAGATGAATGACAAAAGAATTGACAAAAGGCATTTTGTATGCAAAGAAGCATCTTCCTGGTTCATTCCTGGGACACATATGTACTGAGGACCTGCAGCTTGCTGAGCACAGTTCTTAGCGATGCAGATACAACAAAGAATGCTACACACCATGTTTGTGTGTCACAATCAGGTCCTCAGCTTGTTTGGAGATGGGAAGATTTTGGACTGTTTTGAACACATGAAGGACATGCTCTAACTCAGTTTTTAGAGGCTCCCACTGAGCTGTGAAAGGACATTTGTCAGGAAGCAAATGCAGTATTCAGACTTGGGGAACCAAGGCTCTGTGGAGGTTGTAGCAGTACAGCATTGAAGGGGCTTGATTATGAACGTATTGTGAAGATAGGACCCAACAGAGTTTGATCTGTGGAAGCAAAGGATGTGGAGCTAGCGAGACCCCTGGCAGACAGGCACATAGGAAAAGGAGTCTGTCTTAGTTAGGGTTGCTATTTGTGTGTGTGTGTGGGGGGGGGGCTAAAATAATTTTTTATTAAATGTCAGAAGAGATTTATACACAATTCATAAGTTCTTTACAAAACAATTGCCAATATAAGTCAAATTTTGTAAGTTTCTGTGCAGATTTAGAAATTTTGCTGTGAAATAAGACTCTATAAAATATTTCTTTTAAAAAGCATTAGGATGCTAATTTTAGGAGAAATGATGTTTAAAAGAAGGAAGTGGCCAAGCGAGGGAGTGGACCTTGGTGGGAGAATGAGGGAGAAGGGCAAGGTCTACCAGAGCCATGCTCTAATGGACTAGTTTCCCTTCATATTCCCTTATTTGGCGAAAGGCTGACTACCAAGGTTCAGTTATCAAATTGAAACCCAGCAATCAAAGCCCTCTTTGCCTCACCTAATCAACATGTCCAATCAAAATTAAACACCTCATCCTAACACAGGATTTCCCCTTTAGCTTTATAAACTGCCATTTTCCTATGGGGTTCATCTATCTCCCCTCTATGCAGAGGCAGTCCTTTTTTCCCCCTGACAAATTCCCTTTCCCCCTCTCCCTTGTTCCCTTCCCCATCTCCCTTGTCCTCTATCTCCTGTCTTTGTCTCTTATTCCCTGTCCTTTGTCTCTCTGAGGCAAATAAATCTCCTTTGTGCTGAGAATTGGGTCTTGGGGGTCCTGAGCTCGTCCACCAGTTAGGGAGCCTGCAGCACAGGTGTTGGATCTTTAGAAGTCTTTAGGTGAAGTCTTTAGACTGGAAGGACTCCTCAGGGGAGGAGGTAAACCAGGGCCTTTCCACACTAGGCTGTTTACTCCCAGTGTGAACTTGAACAAACTTCCTTTCCCAGCTGGTGTTCCTGCCCAGAAAACTGAATGTATTTGTTCCCTTCTGATAGGAGTGGCTGATGCAAAACCAGTGCTCTCACTTCAAAGGTCTTTAATAGTTTACCCTGGAGTCAAACATGAGTGATCAGGGCCTGGGAACACCCATTTAGATTACCCAAATTTCACGTTCCAACCTGCAACTAGTTTTATGAAGGTTTCATAGTAACAGAACAACGAAAGGCATAAGTCAAGACACTTTTAACCATATCTGTGGAAATATCAGAGATGGGTTACAGCCCTGTGGAGAAATCTCAGCTGTAGATGTTATCTGATAACATCCTTAGCCTTTTGATTGGAGAATGGGATTTTATGTAACACACTGCAATAGTATTCTATCTGTCAGGACGGTACACATAAGGGGCTAAACACGGCCCAAGATAAATAGTAATTAGGATCTGGACTGCAGCTCTCTTCATCACTGCGGCTTTAACCAATCAGCCTCTGCAGACAGTGTCTCCAGAAATTCTCTTTCACAGGGCCTTTTGGTGATATAAGGTGACCCATGAAAAACATGACTATAACACCTTAGGCTGACATTATTTCTTTATACTAGATAGATACTCGGTACCAAGAAAGCAATTTACAAGGTGGACAGGTTGGCTAAATCAAAACAAAAAAAACCTGACAATTGCCAGGTTCTGTGTAGGTCGACCGGACTACGGGAGAGCCGCTGTCAGGCCTGGCGGTCCCGGAGCGGGGCTTCCTGAGTGGTAGGGGAAGAATACAAAAGGACCACCGGAAGAATCCGCAGAACTCGGTGGTGTGTGCCAGGGACCATAGAGGGTCTCTCCGCCTCTTCCTAGAGCGGCCGGCAGCGCCGCTAACAGCCCGCACTTCCGGCGGGCGAGGCGCGAGGCGAGCACCTTGGCGGCCTGCGCGGTGAGTGCGCCTGGGCTGTGGGTCGGCCTGGGCGGGTGTCCGGGGTCGGGGGCTGCGCAGGGCACCGAGCCGTGCGAGCTGCCAGGACGAGCGGCCTCGGCCTGGCGTCAGCCTGGGCCTGGGCGCCTCCGCCTGCCGCGGGGAAAGACTCCATTGTAGGAATACTCAGGCTGCACCGGGCCATTGTGAGCGAGTGCAGCAGAGGAGCCCGGGGACGCTTTTGTTGCTCTCCTAAACGGGTGAGGAAGCAGGTGCATGCCTGCTAGACAGGTCTCCAGCACCGGGGCTCCATCGCCCAGCTTTACCCAGCCTCTCTCCTACCGGAGAACTCAGAACACCGGACTTGGTGTTGGAGGAGGGGGCGATGAACCCCCAGATCTGCCAGTGAGAAATCAGGCCCGAGGCGGCTCCTGGCTTGGGATGGGTGTGCTAACTAGCTTTGTGGCCGTGTTTACAAACCCGCAAACAGAGATGATGGCATACAACTGTATAAAACCCCTAAAAATAAGATAGGATACATAGGTAGATTTCATAATCCATCAGTTGTGACTTCCTCAGTATTTAAAAAGATGTGCTTTAAAATGTGTGATTAGCATTGTAGCTGTTTATTGAGTACTGTGTACCCCACACAGTGTCTCCTAGGTAATAGTTGGTCTGTACATAACTGAGACAGTTAACGGGCTCTGATTGCTCTCGCTTTGTGTTTTATTCAGTTTGCTCTTTCTGTTGCTGCAACTACAACAGATAAAAATTCTTAAAACATCCAGAAAAAGTCCTGAGCACTCGTAACACTTGGAGAGTTATTATACAACAAAACGAAGGGGAAAAAAACAGGAAAAATGTCTTTTGTGTTTTTATTTACTTACTTTATATGCTTATATACAAAGAAACTCAGGACAATAACTGACTTGCAAGATACCATAAAGGTTTTGCTTTGCAGCTCCGATTCCTCCCACATTGCCACCTATTTGGAATTTGTGTCTGTATGTGTGTGTGGGGTTATTTTGACATTTTAAACAGCCTCTAGACAACCTTAAATGTAAACAAATAAAACTAATTTAAAACTTAGAATCTTGCCTTCTTTCTTGGCTCAGTGCAGTCTAGGAAAGGAAGAGAAAGGCATTTCTTCAGATTTTTCCCACCTAGTACTTTTTATTCTTTTTACAGAGTAGCTTCCGTCTTAAACACAATTTGCTAGGTTATCATTGACAGAAATAGCCAAACAAATAGGAATCTATGGTAAAGTAGTATAATCTGTCATTCTTTTCGAATTTGAACATCTTAGGTAGCTGCTATTGAATGAGAAATTTAGCAGTCAACACTGAAACGAATTACTTTATGGTAGAAAGTGATGGTCTTTTGCAGTTATTCTTCTATTCCCACTGAGACTTTATCTTGTTTTTACTTTTTAGTCCTTCAAAATACTCTGTGTTGCTGCTCCCTTTCTTTTGCCTGCCCAAACACAGAAAAATTGAAAATTGATGATATTTTTTAAATTTAATTTGTGGAGTCAGAATTATCTGACAAGTATTTAGCTCTTAAAATTGCATATTTTTATTTGTATTAGGTGTGCTTTGATTTAAATATGGATGCAATTTTGATAGACTGAAGAGGTGTTAAGGTTGAGTAACAGCGATTCTGTCTTTTTCTTTTTCTTCTACATGCAGAAAATTCTGAGTTGTGTTCCTCTAGGATATGAGACCTTATTAGTTCAGAAGACAATAGAATCTCCTGACAATACATCTGGCTAGTCACCATGAGATTAGCAAAGCCTAAAGGGGGTATTTCTCGAAGCTCAAGCCAAGGCAAAGCCTATGAAACCAAGCGTAAGACAGCCCGCCAGCGGCAGAAATGGGGGATGACCATTCGATTCGACTCGGGCTTCAGTAGACGGAGAAGAAACGTGGACGAGAAGCCCTACAAATGTAGTAGGTGCTCTAAGAGTTTCAGTCAGAGTTCCACCCTGTTTCAGCACCAAAAGATACACACAGGGAAGAAATCCCATAAATGTGCCGATTGTGGGAAAAGTTTCTTTCAGAGTTCCAACCTCATCCAGCATCGGCGGGTCCACACTGGGGAAAAGCCCTATAAGTGTGATGAGTGCGGAGAGAGTTTTAAACAGAGCTCAAACCTCATCCAGCACCAGAGGATCCACACTGGAGAGAAGCCCTACTGCTGTGATGAGTGTGGCCGCTGCTTCAGCCAGAGTTCCCACCTCATTCAGCACCAGAGAACACACACTGGAGAGAAGCCCTACCAGTGCGACGAGTGCGATAAGTGCTTCAGCCAGAGCTCCCATCTGAGGCAGCACTTGAAGGTGCACAAAGAAAAGAAGCCACATAAAAGGGGGAAAAATGCCAGGGCCAAAACTCACCCGGTGTCCTGGAAAGTAGGGAAAGGCAGAAAGGCAGTGTCTGGGCGCCGCCAGGTAAAGGGCGCTGCAGCAGGCCTTTTTAAAAAGAAAAAGTGAGTGAGAGAGAGGCAGGCAAATGCGCCCTTAGGAACGAGGCTGCTTCATAGTAGAGCACTTAGGTACCGGATCCTTCCCTAGCATGGAGACTTGAGTTTCATGACACGGGGCTGAAACTCCCAAGTCAAGCTGACCTCCTTTCTTTAAAATGAAAGTACATTTATGTAACATGGAGCACAAAGAACTGAAAAACATGTTTGGTGAGAATATAATATCCTTGGCCTCAGCTGAAATTTCTCCCCTATGGTTTGATAAAAAAGTATCATGTTCTCATGATTCACAGGTGTGCCAGTGATTACTCTCTTTTTAGGAATTTCTGTAGGAAATCATTAACGGAGAAGGAATGAGTTTCAAGTTCTGGGACAGACTATATTTTATGGTTTTTAATGTTTTGTAGTCAATTAACCATTAGTGTAAGTGTTGACTCAGTATAAAATGCATTCAAGTTCATAGTTTTTTTTTTTTCTTTTTTGTTAGTGTATATTGTATGAGGTAAGAGTTCTGTTTCCTTCAGTGTGTATGATGTATCTATATGATGTGCTTTGATGGTATCCATCCTTCCTACCCTCTCCTCCACCCCCTGGTTCTCATCTTCCTCCCAGACACCTCCCTTTCTGCTTAAGATGTTTACCCCAGAGTCTGTAAATGGGAGAAAATGTATTCAGTTATTCTCTTGAGTATGACTTACTTTGTTTAACAGTTCTTTCCATTTTCCCCAAACATGATTTTGTTGTTTCTGGACAAATAATAGTTTATTGTAGCATTCGAAGGCTTTAATGACAACCCATTCATGTATGTGTGTTTTTTCCCTTCTACTGTGTGGGTAAAGGGGATCAAAGGTCCCCATGTGGCTTTTCTTTTATTGTTTTATTTTGTTTATCATGTTCTTAGAGATTCTAAAGAATCCAAAATGAGAGACCACGGACCTCCTATTCCTAACATCGTTTGTGACCCTGTCATTGCTGAGTCACTTGCTTTCTTGAAATCGGATTGGGTTTACGTTGAGTCATGCCAGTGGCCTCTTGGCATTCCCTTGTTCTCTTACACACACAGCACCTGCATGAATAAACTGTATTTTACCAAGAAAGCCTCAGCTTGCTCCTGGCTGAAGATCTCCCGTGTCATAGACTGTGCTTTGAATAGCACTGACTGTCTGAAGCAGATGTTTGTCCATGAGTTACTGGCCAGCGTACTGTAGCCCTGTTAGAATTTACCTCTCTTACTTTATAGCAGCGATTTAAGAAGACTAGCATACATCCTTCTTCCATCAGAAAGATACCAAACATGCATTCCTGATTAGCCTTGAGCTCGGATTTTTGTTCATTGAATGCTAATGTTTTTCTGATTTTTATAATATCAGGTCTTCCTGTATTGATGACAATTATCCTTAAAAATAAAGAATGAGATATTTTTGCATACTACTATCTTCTGTTTTTCTTGTGAGAAATTGTTTCCAGTGAGTTAGAAAACAAATCACAGCTTTTAGGAAAATCTTGTTCTGTTCTTTTTTGATTTCCTCAGATCTGAACTTCACCTCCCTCTGCCCTGTGCTTGTAAATGGAGAGCCATAGCATGTGGCCTATTGACAACAGTTACATCCAACAGGATATAAAAAATGTCTTGTAAGTATAAAGCTATTGCAGTCATCTTTTACAAAAAAACTTGATCCTTGACATCCTGTTATAGCCACATCACCATAACAGGGGCACAGCCATGGGGCCCTATGGAGCATCCGTCAATGTTAGATTGGTCTCTGAGATAGCTTCTGTAGGGGAAATTTACACCATTTTCCTAAGTTCTGGGAATTTCCCATTCTGGTGCCAACCATGGGGGGTTCCTGCAACAATAAGGCCTCTATTAGTTTTGATAGCTTACACTCTTACCTAATAGATCTACCTGTGTTCCCTATGAAAACGAACCCTTCAGGTTTCAATGCCATTTGTTTTGTATATATTCTGAAAACCCTGAAGCTAGTGGGCATCAAAGACAGTGATTTCTGTGAGTCTTCTATGGTAACCGGTGTGTCTGTGTTTCTTTTTAGAAACTAATAAAATGGAAAGATCACAGCTGTGTAAAGTTAATAAGGGAATATACTTGTAGAAACTGGATGCCAATGTGAGTCTAGCAGGTATCACCTCTGAGAATGTGGATTCATTGTATGACCACGTGTGCTCCTCAACCCTGTATTCTGAGTTTCCAGTGTCAGGTGTTTACCGACACAATTCTTGTCATACTGCATACATCTTCTTCATCTAACCCACCGTGGCCTGGGGCTTGTTAGGGAAGTGCTTTGCCACCGAGCCACACCCCACGCTCCATCAGACTCCTTAACCTTGTGTTTTATTAGGAGAACAAGAAAAGCTCCCGAGGTTTTGCTTCTGTATTCTGTCATGTTAAGTATGCCCAAAATGTTTTCTTCCCAGAGAGGAAGGCTTGGAGTCAGGAGTGGCTTGGCTTGAAACAGATGGCAGAAGCAGAATAGAAATAGGAAGTAGTTTAGAAGCCTGAGGTAACCGTGCATCTCAACTGTCTTCATAACAGCTGGAAGGACTGGCACCACCCACTCCTTTTCAGTTGGCACTGTGGTAGGGTCTTGGTGTGAAGTCCAGGCTGCCCTTAAATTCATTCCCTTGCTTGAGCCCTCCAGGTGCCAGAAGTACACATCAATGCTGCCAGGGCCAGCATGACTTCCGTTTTGACTCCAATACCACTATTCCCAAACACTTGACTCTGAAGGCATCCATGATTGGTCATCGTGTAGCTTGAGCTAGATGTTCCCTTGTCACAGGGATGAGAACCGCCTTGGTTAGTCTGTCTGGTCCCACGTGGGAGGGTAACAGATGCTAAGGAATTAATGCCACATTCAAGCAGCTAGAGGTATGCAAACGTCAGAGGCGTGCAGATGGGACTGCTAGGCTGTCTACCTGGAGCCCAGCGTTAAATTCAGTTTTGCCATTTGCAATACTCTACAAGTCAAACAACAACAACAACAAAATACTGGTGAGTCCTTTTGAAAGAAGTTGTACTTCTACAGAATACAACAAGCAGCGGTTACAAAGTTTCACAGGGAGCATATGAAACAACAAGAAAAATATTTAAGAAAACTAGTTTGAATTAATGCATGAACAAAGACCTGGGTAATGTTATCACTAGCACTTCTAGTTCAGAGGACACTCGCTTGGTAAAGAGTCCTAAGCTTTGTGTCCTAGGAGGCTTGTAGAATACACAAGCATGTAAAGGAGCATCATTACATGGAGCTACACAGAAGTTCTTTATGTATTTACTTTCTACTTTTGAAGCAAACTTACTCTTTGACTTAGTAGGATAGTAAATCAATAGCACTAATGAAAACCAAAACCTTAGGATGCTCACAAATCAGGGAACATTGCTGGAGATCACAAATATTAATTTCTTACATACAGGTGGCCTCATATACAAAAACAAGATAAGGCAAATAGATGGGGGCCAGGTTTTCAAATAGCAAGACTCTCTGTCTCTCTCTCTCTCTCTCTCTCTCTCTCTCTCTCTCTCTCTCTCTCCTCTCCATCTCTTTCTTTTTTTTATCTAAATGCAACTTATTGAAAAGAGCAGTGTCTTAAGTACTGTGGAACACCTGTTACAGAAGCTGCTGCTCAAGGTTACCCTCCACTACAGGACACATTTGAGGCCAGCCTAGTGTATGTGAGATCCTGTCTCAAACAAACAGAGTCAAAAGAATTCCATTGTCTATTTGATGTGTTGAAAATCCAGAAAGGCCTGTTGTATAAAATGGAGTATGGGTCACTTTGCATTCAGTACATGTCTTTAACTCTGTAAACTCTCATATAATAAACATCAAGCTCAAATATGCATATCTACAATTTCCAGTCACAGATACATACAGTATTAGATGACATTAAATGTAGGAAAATCACCTAAAGTGGTTGTTTGTAAAGTAACCATTTAGGAAATTTAAGCAGATAACTTCAGTGAACTTGGACTTTTAAGATAAGTTTAGTAAGTTGTCAAAAGCCTGGCAAAATTAGCATGAAACAGCAATTACTTTAATAAGCAATAAAATCTTTTCCAAGAATTCATTTATGTAAATGTTTCTACAAGCAGAATAGCATTTTACTTTTTTTCTCAATTCAAACTTTATTATTTGTTCCTCTTCTTTATATAACATGGACTTAATTGTTATGAGGCAGCTGTTCGGTTTCAATAACCACATTTAGGGATACATTCCTAGACTACACAGATAGTCCAAGTGAAATGGTTATAGAAATAGAGGCAGTGTCATCTCAGAAAACTTTTTATCTATCAAAATCTATTTGCTATCTGGAAGTTTACAAAATGGCTGACTTCTTCAAACTAATTACTCTCTATCATTTATCCCCTCTTCTCCTGGCAAGAGTAAGGCTGAAGCTTATCCATGGAAGTAAAGGTGCTTAACACTAAACTTTTCTTCTGAGCTTAGATTTGGACTGTCTAGAAAACTGATACCCAAGAAACAAGCATGGTATTTCTACAGTTTCACTACCCTATTCATCCATCCATCTGTCCACCCATCCATCAACCACACCCCTTTCTGTATTTTCTTGGCACTCAAGACTGCTGAAGTCCACATAATGTACTTTCACATTCTCAAAACAAAACAAAACCAAAAAAGGCAAAAAAAAAAAAAGAACTTAAAAGAGTTATAAAGTGTGTGTAAGCATTTTTTAACCTATGTGGAAATAAGACCTTCATACTTTCAATTTTCCAAAGAGGATGTATCAAACTTCCTTTTAAAGTCAAGTGAGAGAAAACATACTCTGTTCTGTTTTAAAGTCTAGTAAGAACATTTCTCAAGCCATTGATGACTACTGGTGATCTAAGAAATGCTATGTATTTTGAGATGAGGCCATGCGAAGAAAATATGAGTATCTCACATGTCTCCACATTACAGTTCTCAACCCTTCAGAGCCACTACCAATGTGCCTGAAAATGATCTAGCCTTAACCAAACCTGTCAACTGGAGGTCACAGTGATATTTGTATTAACACTTAATGCTTCCACTGTTCCAAGAATAGAAGGAATTTGTCAATTCTTCTTATTCCAAATCTTCAAACTCAACATTGTAGGCACAGCATGTAAGCAAATCTGGGATGTTCTCCAATAGATAAGCAATGGCATAACAACATTATTTTCAAAAATACTGTCTAGAAGTTCTCTCATATATTATCAAACGCTCAATGGTCACAGTTCTAACAATCTGTATTAGTTGACATTAGATAAATATGTAACGTGTTACAAGTCCATCTAAGCTTTTTATGTAATTTTATAGGTCCAAGAGAAAACATTTGCTTTGGGTTTATATAGGGGTATTGGCTTATAAGGATATAACTCCATTTAAGGTTACACTATTATTGGGCTTACTGAAAAACAAGAGGAAAAAAATCAATTATAGCAATCTTCTTTAGGTCAGTTAAAGGTCATATCTCTAGCTGGGATATCAAAACAGTTAATTTCACCAGCTCAAACTCTACAAGTTAATGCCTCTAGCAACAAGATTGACAGTAGGAAGGAAAAAAACCAAACAAACAAAAAACGAAAACAAAAAAACCCCACCAAAAACAAAATGAAAAACACCTGCTAACAAGCAATCCACTCATCAGCTAAATAGCAGTTTAACTGAAATACTTTGACCAAAGTCTAATACTAACTACACAAACAACCCCAGCAAATAGAGAGAAAAACTGCTTTAAAACCCTAAATAAGCTTAGTATTTTCTCACAAGGATAACAATGGCTCCACTCCTGAGAGTACTCAAGGTAGAGCAAAGGCAGTGCCAGGGATTAGCATCCCACAGATAGACTTTAAAACTCAAAGAACCACAAACACACTAACTAAGCTTGTCTATGAATTAGAGAACAAGATATTGCCTCGGCTTCTTTTGAAATAAACAATATTGTAGGCTTTGCCCTTCAATGTGAAAGCAGAATGTTAAAAAAATAATTGAAATCATCTGACACCCAATTTGAGGGGACATCTTAACTGTGAAACTATACAGACCTGTCTTCTCTTTCCTTCAACCCAACGACCTCACAAAAATAAGAGAAATGAAACAATCCAAACATGACCATTTTTAATCATTTTTTATTTGAATTAGAAACAAGGTTGATTTACATGACAATCCAAGTTCCCTTCTCCCTCCCGACCTCCCCTACCATCCCCCCAACTAAAACCCTACCTATCACATACCCTTTCTTCTATTCTTCCCCTGACTCAACCTTTCTGCTCCCTCATGACCTCTGCATCCTTCCTCTTCTTCCCTTCTCATTCTCGTAGCTCCCTCCCCCCTCTTCCCATGCTCTCAATTTGCTCAGGGGATCTTGACCCTTTCCCCTTCTCCAGGGGACAACAAACATGACGATTTTTAAGAGTCCTTGAAAGTATTACAAACTTTAAGAGGACAGAAAGGAGGACTTTCAAGGGAGAAAAGCTGAAGAAAAGGGGGAGGGCAACCAATGGGTCTTTCTGTTACTTGGCCACAAGCAAGTTCAAGAAAGTTCTTTTGTGATTTGTTCAGCTGTCTGTCTTTTGTGTCTCTTCCTTCTGACCAGATGGGATGTTGAGGTTTTTCTGAAGCACACGAGCTTCTGCAGGCTCTATTCTCTTATATGAGTTCTTCTTCGTCTCAATAATCTCAAAGCCAAACTTCCTGAAGAAGTCCATCACTGACTCATTGCTCATCTGGACACGCAGAGAGATGTTGTCAAAAGTGCCATCTTTCTCACAGATGTTTAGGACATGACTTAGCATTTTAGTTCCTATTCCTAGTCTTCGGTAAGGTGCAAGGCATCCTCGTGTCATGATGCAAAGTCTGTTTTGAGTCTGTGAATGATCCACTTGCAGCACACTGCACTTACAGCTGTATCATTGAAATATGCGAGTTCTGCTACCTCGCCGACCTCTATAGCACATCCTTGTAGAATTTGTCATCATAGCTGACTGGAAAGATGACTGACCAGGTTCAATCTCTTCAACTGTTTAATATTGTGTGTGTCACATCCCTCAGCACCATTAGGCTACCTTTCATCTTCCCCACCTGCTGAGAAGTCTTTACAGCCACAACCAAGGCAAGCCCATCCTCGGCCGCCTGGAGCCCTCCGCCCCTGAGCTCAGGCCGCTCAACCCCACACGCTGGCCTCTTGGCTGAGGGAAGAGCGCCGAGGGGCCAAGGAGGCCACGAAAGCCAAGCCGGGGGAGACGCGGGAAGATCTGCAGCTTGCGCTTGCGCAAGGGACACTCCGCTCCCGCCCGCAGCTGCCACCAGCCAGACCCGCCGCCCCGCTGTCCAGAATAGCATTTTAAAGGTTAGTTGCTTTAGACACAGAGTTACTACCTAGTTACACTGTACATTAAATTTTGACCATAGAAAATCCTTAGAGGGCTGAGATAGTGACCGGTTGGAGCAGTGGTAAAAAGTGCCGCATGTCCCAGCACTGTAATCCCAAGCAGGAAGGTCAAATTCACTTTTGGCTACGTAGTGAGTTTGAGACCAGCCTGGGATACATGGAACTGTTTTATTGTTGCTGTTTGTTTGTTTGAAATACCATAGATAAATCTTCATTTTTGAAACATTTTATAAAAAATGTTGTTGGACTGGCAAGATGGCTCATTAGGTAAATGTGCTTCCCCCCACACCTGACCACCCGAGTTTTGTCCTTAGAACCCACACAGTGGAAGGAGAGAACTGACTCCCACAATTGTCTCCTTTACATATGTCTCCCCATACACAAATAAGTGCAAAACATTTTTTTTTTAAGTAACAGAAGAGTGAATAAAGAAAATGTGTGGTGGAGAGGCTACCCTAAAAGCCCTTCCCCTATAATGAGACTGAAGACTACTTTATTATGCCATCCTAGAGCCTTCATCTGTGGCTGATGGAAGCAGAGGCAAACACCCACAGCTATACACTGAACTGAACTCTGGAACCCAGTTGCAGAGAGGGAGGAGTGAAGAGCAAAGAGGTCGGGACCAGGCTGGTGAAACCCACAGAAACAGCTGACCTGGACAAGGGGGAGCTCAGGGACCCCAGACTCACGGCTGAGAGGCAGCATGGGACTGATCCAGACCCCCTGAAGGTTGGGTGTCAGTGAGGAGCCCGCGGCACTCTATGGGGCTTCGGGTAGTAGACCAGTATTTATCCCTGGCAC